ACGACCCTCCGGGTCTTTGATTTCGGTGCATAGCGTGAAAGGTGTTGTGTGGTGGAAGGCTATCAGTACCCCCCTGCGCTTGGAGGTGGCAGAAGCTGTATAGACCTGAGTATATCGAGGACCAAAAAACTTAGGAGTGGAGTTTGGAGTGAAATGCGTTTCCTGAAGACAGACCACGTGGGCTTTAAGTGTAGCAAAGGTTCGGAAAGCCTTATTCCGTTTCTGTGGAATATTGAGACCCTGTAGATTCAGGGTGAGGATATTTAGCAAGCCCATGGATAAAGTGCAAAGCGGTTTGTATAGCGTGGCACTCCCACTCGGGGTGTAGCCTGACGCTTACTGCAGGGGATGAGAGCGTTACGAAACGTGTTGTACGAAGTCATGGAGTCATGTTGGAAGGAAGGAGGAGGGGTACGGTATAAGAAAGGTAACAGGTAAAAAGGGGTGTAGAAGGCCATTCGTGGCCTAAAAAGTGGGTTCCCTAAGGACACCCTGAATCAGGGTTGGCCAGGGAACAACAATAGCCCAAGTGTTATTAAATAACCAATAACACAGGGGCTAGGGTGGAGTGTGCAGGTATGCGGACCGTGAGGGTGACAGCTGCGCATTTAATAAATGGTGGCTAGGTCCCGATAGAAAAAAAAAAAAGCTGGTGCATAAAAAGAACATTCAGGAAAATCAGGGATTCTAGACTCAGGCGGCACTGGTAGTACTAGTTGGATAACATCGGTGTAAGGGTGTGGTATCTCATGCCGCCAGAACCCAGGATCCCAAACATAAACTACAGTGAAGGTCAGGAGGGGGGTGTAGAACAATCCCCAGATATTGGGGCAACCAAAATTTAACAGGTAGAGGAAAAGTGGATAACTATGGTGGTAACCGCCATGGTGATAACCAAACGAGTACACCTTACGGTGCATGTGGCGAAAAAAGGAGAAAGAAAAATAAACATGGAATATTGTTCAGTCCATGGTATCTTGCGAAGGTAGGCCCGGAGACGAAAAACGTCCCCGCTTGTGGAAATGGAGTTGACCTTCAACTGCACGTGTGGGGAGGGACTACCGCGGTGAGCAAGATGTGGACCTCCGCTTGCCGCTTTCTGAAGGCGTCGCTGGGGAATGTAGTTGTTGCAGGATCCGTAGGGTGTCTAAAAGGTCCTCTGGAGTCTTGCAGGTGTAATCTCTGGACTGGTATCGGAATCGCACTGCGAAGGGGAAGCTCCACCTATATTGTATAGCGTGGTGTTGGAGTACTTGTAGGTGGGGTTTCATTGCCCTGCGCCTGGAGATGGTTTCGGGGCATAAATCTTGGAACAATTGGTAGGTATGACCTTGGAACTGAAGAGATTCTGCGTTATGGGCAGCCTGCAGGAGTTGCTCCCTGGTGCGGAAAAAGTGGAGCTTGGCTATAATATCGCGTGGTGGACCATCCGTGCGTCGTGGTGCTAACGCCCTGTGAACTCTATCCAATTCTAATCTGTCAATTGGGATAGCTGGAGCGAGCTCTTGGAACAGAGCTGTTATCGTTGATTGGACATCAACAATCGTTTCCGGAAGGCCACGGATACGCAGGTTTGTGCTCGGTTTTCAAAGTCCTCCAGTCATGTTAATAATGTTGCGTTCTCGTCGCGCAGAAGATCAAGGTCATCCGTAAGCGTCTGAAGCGAAGCGTCAAGACCATCTACCCTCTGTTCTAGGTCCGCAGTGCGCTGTCCTAGTTCACGGATTTCCCTAGAAAGTGTGGCAGTAATGCGGTCCGAGGTTTGCTTCAAAGCTTTGTGTAGCATTTTTTCAAATCGTGATAAAAGGTCTGGGGTGTAAGGTCAGGCGTCATGGCTTGTGCAGGAACATCTGTCTCATTGTCGGACTCACCCTCAGACGTGCAGGGATGGCTGGGCTGTGGATCCTGCAGGGCTGCATATGCCCCTGCTGCTTGCTTGCTTCCACGTGTTGGAGCGGCGGCCATCTTTGTGGAGGCCTTTGCCAAGGCCTCTTTAATAGTTTTGGTCGATGGGGGGACCTGATGTCGGGGTGCCCCTTTGACCATTTTTCTGTTTGCTAAGGGGGGGCTGTTATACTATGCTCAGCCCCCCCCCCTGCTCTCTCCTTCTTCACCGCAGCCGCGGTATGCTGTGTGCAGCGGTGGGCGGGCTTATGGCGGCTCACAGTGGAGACCCGGTCCCCTGTCGGATTTCTCCGACCTGAAGCTGAGGATCCCCCTCAGACCCGGGCGGATCAGGACCCGGGGTGGTTGCCATGGGGATCGGATCCCCCTTGAGTGATTGCGGGCCGGGACCCGCTGCTATAGAGCGCCGTCACCCGACGGGGAGACGGAGCCTCACGGGGACATGTCCGTCCCGCCGGCCGCGCATGCGCACCTCCCAAAAGTGTATTTTTTATAAAATTTTGCAAATAAATAATATTTCATCATAAATCTTTGCCAAAATTTAGTCCGTTATCTTTTTAGTAAAAAAAAAACAAATTAGTTTATAACCAAAAATTATAATTTTTAAACAATTTTTTTACATTTTTATTTTATTTTTTTATATTATTATTTTTTATTTAATTATTTTTACACTGTACTACTTGTGGGGGGTGATGAAGATTTTTTTTTTTTTGTTACACTGATGGCTTTTACACCCATATAGGATGTAAAAGCGATCATTTCTCTTTCTCTCTGTGTGCATTCCTGCACTCATTGAGAAGTACTCATTGATTAGTCACAGCTTGTCACATGGTACAAGGCTATTGTGAATAGCCTTGTACCATGTGACCTCTGTGATCATTCACAGATTTCACACGTAGTAAGCAATGATGTCAGAAGTGACATCTTGCTTACTACTATTCATGTGATCACTGTTTGGCCAATCAGTGATCACATGATCGGGACCTCACACAGAGGTCCCGTCCGACGATTGGTGTTCCACTGTGTCCGGAGGACACAGCGGGCACCGGATCGCGGTGCTGTGTGCTCCCAGGGAGCGCGCACAAGCAGGGTGCGGGGAGGCCGTTTATAAACGGCCACCCGACCCTGCACTGCCACCCTCCGGCCGTTTATATGCAACGGCCAGTCGGGAAATGGTTAAAAAGAGTATACAGTATATCGGGGATTTTCACAAACAATTTATTATTCGTTTGCAAGGTCCCATTGAACTTACTAGAAAATTTGACTACTCCAGGAAGAGTCAATCCTTAAATGTGGTGGCTGCATTCGTTCTCTCTCTTTTTTAGGCTTTCTTTCTCTTTGTTTTCACCTGGTGATTTGGCCACTAATAAACTTTCTGTCTCTACTCTGGATGGAGGAGCAACAAAGACACCCTTGGACATTGTCAGTCTGGGGAAAGGGTAGTGTAAAGGTGGGAATACATGATTAGAAAATCGACCAATCAGCCATCCAACGACCAAGAGGAGTTCGTTCATTGTGCGAAATCATGGCCCACATTAACCAATCTAAAAAAATCGTTCATCGGGCAATACGTAGTGTTGACATGTTCCGTACAAGTGGAAGTGATGCGGTGTGCGTGTGACCTTGTAGCCACGCCCTTCTGGCCAGAACGAGCGATATACACTACAATTCCCAGTAATGAGTATAATATATATTATTACATGACCTATATACATAAATAGTGACACATAAAATATAATCTGCACAATTCTGGTTTCATTATCTCATTAGGACAATCTACTTTTAACATTTGGATTTTTTGTTCGTGTTTATGAAGATTCCTTGGACATAAACATCCGGGTCATCTTCTGTTTCCGCTCATGCGTGATAGCGCTTGATAGATTTTTTTCGTATGATCGTCATACCACCGCATAGAAAATCGGTCCTTCATATGCGAAACAACAACATTTTTCACTGTTGTTCAACCGGAATTTTTCGTTCACAATATCGTTATCGGTTAAAACATCCTGCTCATCAACGAAGAGAAAATCGTTCGATTAGTGGTTCTGCGATATTTTTCGTACGATTTTCTTATCGTGTGTACAGCATTAGGTGGCCTCGCAGATTTAAATGGACTTGACTAAAAAGTTAAAGCCAAATTCCAGCTAACACTTTATTTCCTTTTGGGATAAATGTTTTCTATAAATCAAAAAAAGCTGATCATTTTAAGCACCACTGCCAGTGCTAAATGGTTTATTTAAATGGTTTGTCTCAGCCCCTTCAACTGCCACATATTCCAGACAGCTTGGCCTGTTAAAGAAAGATGAAAAATAACAGACTCACTGTCCGGATCACCAGGTGAAAATAAAGGGAAAAGAAATACTAAAAAAGGAAACTAATGCAGCAATCACATATAAGAGTTAGAAAGTTGCAAGCTATTTGTGTTAACAAGCCAGGGTGAAATGTCACACTGCTCTCTGGGCAACACTGCTTTCAGACACATAGTAGCAATTGGTTTTTTAAGAGATCTGTTTACAAGACCATTCATTTTAACAATATCTTTTCATAAGATTATATATGAATTTAACATATTCGTGTTATTTGCTTGTAAACTCCAAATCCTCCCTTGTATAGATATCCAAAAATCCACAAACTGCTGCTAGGCAATGTTATCTTGGATGTGATGTCACCAACCCCATCCAACCCAGAGATGTCAGCTCAAGTGACAGTAATATTGTCCTTTGCTCCTCCCTCCAGAGCTACATAAAAGGTTATGGAGGGAGAAGTCATTAAACATCCCCAGAATAGGAGAGGGCTATGACATGTAAGGAGGGAAGGACTGTGCTAGGAAATTGACTCTTCCTGGAGTAGTCAAATTTTCTAGTAAGTTCAAAGGGACATTGCAAATGAATAATACATTGTTTGTGAAAAGGAAAGATAGCTGCAAGTAAGCATTTATAATACTTGCCTTTTCTGTGCTTTACCTGCACTTTTTTAGATCTCTTTAACGGCCACCCGCCACTATATAAGGAAATGACAGACAGACGTGTGTTGTTCTTTCATTCTGGGAGGACGTCATATTACGTCCTGCCACTCTAACCGATCGGCGATCGGTGGTCAACACAGCAGATCACCAATCAGTAGAAAGAGCCAATGATGTTGGCTTTGTCATGTGATCAGCTGTGTCCAATCACAGCTGATCACATGTAAATAAGGAAATGCCGGTTATCGGCATCCCTCTCCTCACAAGCTATCACGCTGACAGCTCAACAAGAGAGGAGAGCCGGTAATTAGCATTCCTCAGAAGGGACATCTACACTGATCATCAGGGCACTGATGATCAGTGTAGCCCCATCAGTGCCACCTGCCAGTGTCCATCAATGCCACCTGCCAGTGTCCATCAATGCCACCTATCAGTGTGCATCAATGCCACTTATCAGTGTCCATCAATGCCACATATCAGTGCCTACCAGCGCACATCAATGCCACATATCAGTGTCCATCAATGCCACATATCAGTGCCTACCAGTGCACATCAATGCCACATATCAGTGCCCATCTGAGCTGCCTTTCAGTGCCAACTATCAGTGCCAGTCAGTGCCACCTATCAGTGCCAGTCAGTGCCGCCTATGAGTGCTGCCAATCAGTGCCACCTATCAGTGCCATTCAGTGCCACCTATCCGTGCCAGTCAGTGCCGCCTATCAGTTCCAGTCAGTGCCGCCTAACAGTGCCAGTCAGTGCTGCCTATCAGTGCCATATATGAGTACTGCCTTTCAGTGCCCATCAGTGGTGTCTATCCATGCCCACCAGTGATGCTTGTCAATGCCCATCAGTGCCACCCACCAGTGCCTCTTCATCAGTGCCCATCAGTGCAGCCTATCAGTGCCCAATACTGCAGCCTCATTAGCGCACATCAGTGAAGGAGAAAAATTACTCAGTTACAAATTGTCAAAACAATAAAAGACTCATGAGGGAAGGTATTTGAATGAATGAATCAAGAGATATGGGTTTGCATATTTCTACAAGTGCATGCCAGATCTACATTTGGACTGTAGGTCTGGATCATAGAGCAGATCTCTAATGCTGTCCCCAAAGCCGAAAGGTATAAAAAAAATTGTGTGAACTGGAGACATATTGGATCTTCTTGTTTGAATACCCTAACACCAGCAGGGCTCAATGAAGAGATAGAAACTAGTACTATCATTTAGATTCATTGTTTTGACAACAATATTATATTTAAGCTATATAAAGCTTTTTATAATATTCACACAGTTATTTTATATATTATCATTTCTTTACCTTCAAATCTATCCATATACAGAGAGCAAATAGCACACTCTTCTTGGTATGTTATTAAAATCATGATCTTCTTTTTATGGGCTAGAGTTCCTCTTTTTTTTTTTTTATTTCCCACATTTCATATAGTGTCTATTTTTCTAGTTCTATTTATATTGAGTTAAACTTTCTCTGCAATGCTATTTGTATCATCTATTTTTAATTTTATTTTCATTTTTTGTTTTATTTTTTCCGCTAGAACTCCCCTTTATGGGGATTTTTTAAAGATCATGCACATAGTATTCATTTATTCAGTCAGTTCCACCCAAATTATTTAAGCCATATCCGCCCATACCTAACTATCCATAATATTCCATGTGTGCTACATTTTCCCTCCCCTTCCTCTTTCAGTGTCGAATAATATCTATCCTTTCTTCCCTTTCCCTCTCATGGTTTAACAAAGGAGCGATTGTTGGCTCTGAAACATGTTACCACCCATCACGCTTTGACGTCAATACGTCCCTACGTCACTTCGGATTTCGGTCCTAGGGCTGGCTTGCGTTCCAGTCTGGTTATATTTGCTGCTGGAGGAAGACACAGCCTATCATATGGACTTAATCTGCATTCTGACAGAGTCCAGCTTTATTGCACCTATCCTGCAGAGCTGTTCTAAGGATACATCTTATCCTTCCATCCACCTGCTATTCACCGAGGCTTGCCAGTGAATAAGGACTGATGATATGCCCATTTACACTCATTCTTGTGAGTGCATTTTAACCCTTCCCTTTACTTGTTTTTAATTAAATTGGTACACTTAGATGGCGGTGCCTTCTGTTTGTTTATTGTTTTAACTGACCCAAGCTGCAGATGAAAACGTATAATTATTATTACTATTATACAGGATTTATATAGAACCAACAGTTTGCTCAGCGCTTTACAATATAACGGGAGACAATACAGCAACAATACACTTCATTACAAGAGGGATAGGAGCTTACAATCTAGGAGGGAGGGGCTAGTGGTACAAAAGGTAGTAACTGTGGGGGATGGACTGGTAGGAGGAGTAGATTACATTATTAGCTGAGGGATGGATAGGCTTCCCTGAAGAGAAAGGTAGTAACTGTGAGGGATGGACTGGTTGGAAGAGTAGAAGATTCTAGTATTAGATGAGGGCAGGATAGGCTTCCCTGAAGAGATAGGTTTTCAGAGATCGCCTAAAAGTGAGCAGAGTAGGTGATAGACTGATGAATTGGGGCAGAGAGTTCCAGAGGATGGGGGAAGCTCTGGAGAAGTCCCGAAGACGAGCATGGGAGGAGGAGACCAGGGAGCTAGAGAGCAGGAGCTCGTGCGAGAAGCAGAGAGTACGGTTTGGTGATATTTGGTGTATAATGTGCCGGTTACCTTCATACACCCCTTTAGTCACCTCAGACCAAGCATGGAAGCATTTCAATGCTTTACTACTAAGGCTATGAGCTAGGCAAGAGCTCCAGGTTCTGGACTCATGTCCCTTTTATGGACTACATAACCAGTAGGTCAGATCCAAAAAGCTTGCAAAGGAACACACGGGAAATGGTGCACAACATTTTAACTCTTTCCTGACAGCATTCTTTCTAGGCTAACAGTGGGCAACCTGCCTACAAGCATGCAGGAGTAAAGTTAACTGGAAGGGTTGTCAGATAGGAGGGGTCCAGATTTTTTTTCAGTTTTATAAGTAAGTAGGTCAATTTTAGAGGATATCCTCCTTTAAAACAGGCAGTGTAAGTAGTAAAGAATTTGGTGTAATGTGGCAAAGACAGGATTGGTGAGGGAGTTGTTTGGCTGCTGCATTCTGTACAAGCTGCAAATACTATACATCTTTTTCAGACACACCATAGTAGAGGGTGTTGCAGTAATCCGATCTAGATGGTACAAAAGTATGGATTAATTCAGGCATATCCTCTTCTGGAATCAGATGTTTGATTCTGCAATGTAGTAATATTCCTGAGATTGTGGAAGGAGGACCTGATGGCAGCAGACACCTGTTGCCTAATCAATAGGTCAGTGTCTAGGATCAAACCCAATTCAAGGGACTTTGCCTTCAGAGCTGGGACATTTAAAACCACCAGAAGCTTCCAAGGCCACATGATTCAGTGTGCCCAAGTGACCAAAACTAAAAAAGGATGGAGCTGCTCACACACAGGAGAGGAGCTTCTTCCCTAAATTCTCAGGAAAGTGGGGTGTCGGCATCCATATGCTGATCCAGTAAGTAAGCAAGATGTGTGTGAAAAGGATTGTTGCTCTCCCCATCCAGCCTTTGCAGCTTGAATGTGTGGAGCAGTCTCAGCCTTTCCCTGACGCATTCTGCCCTGCCCACTGGGACCTGGTCATAGGGTCTATGATAAGCCCCAGTGAGTGGGGTGGAATGCATCAGGGGACATGGTTTGGGAGAGACATGTAGGCTGAGGCCTCTCCAAACTTTCAGGCTGCATGGGCTGGATGGAAGAGCCACAATCCTTTCCACATACATCAGTGTGCCCAAGCTCACATGCAGCATTCAGGGGCTCTCTGAGTGGGGGTGCCAAAGCTTTAACTCCTTGGGAGACACATTCTATCTGCATGATAAATTGCCTCTCTCCAGGTTCACTCTGAGAGATCACTCACATCCTCTCCCAGGAGTCCAGTCCCTTAAGACTCCTCTAACCACTCTTGTAACTCCTGTAATCACATGGTAGATATGGGATGGGAAGATACATTAACCTTTCCTGGTGATGCCACTGTTTTGTGGTTGTGTCACACTTTGCTTTGTTCACAAAATCCCCAAAGTTCGCTCTTACAGGCTTTCAGTGCAAAGGTTTTTGGTGATCTAGAACTATAGCAACATAAATTGTTTAGAGGAATTCTTGAATGGCATTAGAATAACAGAACTCACAATCAGCAGATCAGGTTCTCAGGCTTGGAAAAACAACAGGTACTCTTAAAACTGAAGTTTAGGTATGGCAAATTAGGTATAGCATAGTGCCCGGAACTAGGGATGAGGCCAGAAGGATCAGGAACTGAGTTCCAGGCACCAGAAATGAAGGCGATGGAGTCAGGAACAAAGCGCCAGGGATCAGTGATAAGGCTGATGGGACCAAGAGCAGAGTGCCAGGCTGCAGAGATGAAGGAGCACACTGCTGGACGCCAGAGATGAGGGCAGTGGGAACAGAAGCAGATGCCAGCTGGCAGAGAAGAGGGTGGTGGGACCAGGAGCAGAATGTCCAAAACAAGAGATGAGGGCAGTGGGACAGGAGCAGAGCACTGGTTGGCCAAGATGAATGTGGTGAAGTCAATAGTGGAATGCCAGGCAGCAGGGATACTTCATTAACATTCAATAAATGCAGCGTTTGTTCACCACTGTTTAAAAAAAAAGTCTATAACATGTCCCCCTGTACCTGTAAGAAAATGCACAGAATTGTAAGTTCCAGCAGTAGTACTAGTAATTAGCTCTTACTTTCAAGAGTGTCTGCTTTAGGGAATGTGATGGGTTTTTTTATCAGTGGTGAATAGCCTTCTGCCTGACCCATAGGCATGACTATCATCTCATATGTAAGAAGCTACAGATAGTACAGTTTTATGTCCTTTGTACTACCAAGCTTGTACAGCATGAGTAAACATCCAGGTTGGGGGCAGATTAGGAGAGCCATTATGAATATCACTTAACCAGACAAAGGGGTAACATTTATTATATACCGGTTTTGAACATTGAGCTTTCAGAGCTCTCTTTCCCATATACAAAACACCCATCTTCTTCTTTTGGAACTGTAGAGTTTAATGATCCTACTTTTCACCCATTCATTTAGATTCTGACAAATCAAGTTAATAGCTTGTCAAATCTGAATCCTGAGCTGAAAGTCTGCCGTTTTTAAACTCTTTTTGACTTTCCTTTCCCCACTTTGCCATGCCATGTCCTGAAAGGCCTATTATTCGGGCACAGCAGTGTGTGGCGGACATCTATTACCTCCGCTGACTCTGGAAAAATGCTCAAATATTTCCCTGTGTAAAGTATTGCAGATTAAAAAGAATTAATAGGGGCTGTTCTATTGTGCCAGCAATGCCTTTATCACGGAGTTCATTTCAATGTGCGCGATGAATCACAGATAAGTAACTGTACCCATGAATAATGCTATGCTCCATCAGCAGAAGGGACAGAGTGATTTCCCCGCTGAGTGTAAACGGCAAGTAATCATTCTAAATTGGGTTTTATAGAATGCATCACTAAGCCAATTATGCTTTGCATGCACGGCGGTCCCTTCTCAAAACAGGCTTCTAAAACTGTCCGAGTTAATTATTATGTTGAAATGTATTTTTTGCTGTTCATTAATTTTGCTTGGAATTCAGAGAGCCTAGTAACACACACAAAAAAAAACCAGCCTTGCTGGCTTTGCATAGATTGAAAAACAACTGAACAGCTGCATAAAAGAATAAGGAGATGTAATTTAGCTGTTGTCTACAGCAACCAAGTTGCAAGCTAAAGTGGAAGTAAAGTCCATTTTTTAATGTGTACCTCTAGGTAAGCCTATAATAAGAGATATGCACACGGAACATGCGCTCTGAAGGGACGGCATATCCACGACATAACTTCAGAGCTCTGTGCCAGGCTCAGAGCTCCTGCGCGCATGTGCAGGAATGACGTCATCGTGGCCCGGCCATCCATACAGCCG